CGTCCCGAGCGGCCCCGACCTCCTCCCGCTGCCTGCCGGCCGCTGTAGTCCCGCTCCCGCTCCCCCTCCCCGCCCGGCAACCGGGCCGCGCTCACACCCTGGGCTCGCAAACGACACCCGCGAAGAAATCGCGATTAAAATAAAAATGCATCTTTTCCTGCAAGCTTTCGGGCACACGCGCCCTTCCTCAGGCTCAGGGAGAATTAAAGATGGTAAAAAACGGAAACTTTGGGGAGAATTAAAGATGGTAAAAAAAGGAAACTTTGGGAAGACTTAAAGATGGTAAAAAAAGGAAACTTTGGGGAGAATTAAAGATGGTAAAAAAGGAAACTTTCGGAGGGAGAAGGAATCCTAGAGCAGGGCGCTCCACAAGTCACCTCTGTGTGCCAGACAAATCGTCGTCTAAATTGGTGGTTCTCGACCTTGTTTGGCCCCAGACCCGTTTGTAAGCGTCCGACCCCCTGCCCCGCGTACCGAGCTCTGCAAGCCCCCTGGCACATGTAGCAGGAAGCAGGGGGAAGGGAACCAACAAACCCTGGGAAATATCCGTAGTAGAAGAGAGAGAAAAGAGGCATTGAGAGGAAAAGCTCCTGTGTTGGTTTTGTACAGCGCCTGGCACCCTGGAGGCCCGATCCCTGAGCTGGGTCCCCTGTGCTACTGCAATACAAGGATACAAGGACGTCTTTACCTGCTTATAGGGCCCGCAGCCGTAGAGCGTTTCAACCCACTCTGTCGTTATAAATCAAAAGGTGGTTGTCGTTTCTTTCTTGCTCCCTGGAGGAAGAGCTGGGTCATCGGTAGCAATGTCTGTTGGTTTTTGGTTGCCTTGTTGGAGTCCAGGCCCTGGTGTTGTGTGCACAAACCGTTGCGTCGTGCCTCTGTTCTCGGCGGGCAGTTATATGCTGTGAACAAGAGAAAACCTAGTCTGAGAATCAAGCAGAGCATTTAGTTGGTTTGTATTATGGTAGGACCTAGGCGCCCCGTTGTGCCAGGAGCTGCACAAACCCAGAATGAAAAGAAGTTGGTGGATCCAGGATTTGGAAAAGCCGGGTGCAGAGGGTGAGGTGCCTTGTCACCTGTGAAACAACACCTGTTTTCCCCCAGCTAAAAATAAACTAGAAGCATTACTAATACGCCAGGGGCCCAAGGCTGTGGGATTCAGTTTCAGATTGAAGCAAAACCAATTATTGTTTCATTGGAATGAGTTAAACAAAAAAAGCAATCGGCAGAGCTGTGAAATAGGAGCTTCCTCCCCGGGAGCAGCCAGCAGAAGGGCAGAACAAGGCCTAGCTGGATGGGTGGAAAAATCAAGACCATTAAAAAGAAGAGAGGGTCATTAACACCCTCAAAGTGTTTAGAAGAGATCAGGTAGATGATAATGAGGCATGACACCCACTGCTCCTAGAAATGCTGCCGTCACTGCCGGGGACTTGGTTTTAAACTTTGGGTGGAGCAGGAATCAAAGGGGGGTGCACCTAAGAACATTTTGTTGTTATTAGTAGTAGTAGCAGTAGTATTACCACTTATTAGGACTATTATTCCAAATACTGTTAGTGAGACTGGACACACAAGGAAACACTGCTGAAAGCCTCCTTCACGTTGGGCCTGAGTTTTCAGCGTGTCAAACACGACTCGTAACTGATGCTGGAATCACCAGGTCTGGTGCTCACAGACCCGGCAGAGCACCCCAGAGGGCTGGATTTCCACCTCCCAAGTAGCTATTTCATCAAAAATGCTCACATTGTTCATTGTCCAGATGGGGTTGGACTCCCTGAAGTTAGTTCCTCCAAGTTCGCTGTTGGGGGCCGAATGGTTTTGAAAATCCACCTCTTTGCGTTTGGTATCCCAAATAAAATTCTTTAAAATCTGTCTTCTAAAACCCAGCTAGTGCATGGGAGAGCATGTCAGAGGAGGTCTCAGAATCGAATGAATGCCAAAGGCTTTATGTCTCAACCGATACTAACGTGTGTCATTATACAACGAAGATCTTGCGTGAGCTGAAGGAGGCAAGAAGGGGTTCCCCCCTCCTAAGTATAATGCAGCCAAGAGCAGAGGGGCTGAGTCCTGAAATGCAGAAGGATCCACTAAATTTAGAAAGGAAGGAGCAGGAGACTGGATCAGGGGGACTTGTCACCTGTTGCAGTCTGGAGCTCTGTGCCAGGTACCGACGCATGTGAGTGACATGAATGGGACATTTGTCTCCGCTTTCCCCTAAATATCTTTGTGTATATTGGGTCCGATCACTCAGAGCAGCTTTTCTACCTCTGGACTGAGGCTCGAAACAAACTTATGGTCGGCCGGCCGGCCAGATTTCTCAGAATTGCCACTAGATGGCAATAAAGTAGCGCACACATATCATCATTATGCTGTTAAAATCCTGTGCATAAGGTATATTGTGACCTAGAGCCACTGCCCTCTCCATTTCTCTTGAAGGATGACATCTGGATGTTACAACACAGGGTCGCACATTGGAACGGATCCAAATGCCCCCAAACCTTTAGGAAATTCAAATCCAGAGCTCCCTTCTCTCTTGATTTATGACTTGATAGCAATGTAGCACATCGTTGAACAGTGAAGCACTGGGATTCACTTAGAGACCATAAAAGGGATATTTTTTTCCTAAAGTTGGTGGACAGATATAAAGGTTGTTGTTCTGTTGCACTCTCTTTCCTTGATATTTTTTATTTAGTCCCTTTGCAAATGCTTCAAATCCAGCCTGAATGTCTTTCTAAAGGAAGTTACAGGTATAATACCTCCAAAGCCTGTAAACTCCTCCAGGCAGGAATCGTGTTTTATGGTGTGTGCAAAGCTCTATGTCTACCTGTGGTTGTAAGCAGCAGAGAAAATACAGAAGATGAGTTACGTCCCAGAGTTTGGGCCAATCAAAAATGTATTTTCCAGGGTTTTTTAACTCACAAAAAAACATTTAGGATGACGTTTTTCAAAGGATCCTCCCCTGATCCCTAACACTGTGCATGGAACTGTTCACATCTGAGTTTTCATGTTTATGAAAAAATCTTGGCTTTCCAGGCACAGATTGCAAATCTGTGCACAGGGTGGTATGTAACTCCTTGACCTGGCCAGGCTCAGCACACGCCTTGGCGATAATCTCAGTGACCTCCATCGATAATAATTAACTCAAGCCTTTCAGTCCCCGTGAGGTCGGTCACTGTTATCTCTGCTATACAAAAAAAAAGGAAAATTAAATTAAATTAAATGAAAGGGTTACAGGCCAAATCCTAACAGGTACTGAGCACCGTGCCCCCCTGCCATAATTCAGCAAAAAGTTTGCCATCATTCAGCAAAAATCAAGATATTCAGCTTGTTAAAGATAGGAGTTTTATCCAGGGCCACTTAGTCTGGGGTGAAACGCACAATATGACTCAGATGCCTGGACTGCAAGGTGACCCTTCCCCAATCCAGCTGTGTTTGAAGATCCAAGTGCCATATCCTCTAGTTCTGTAAACAGTCATAGATCTATTGAAGTCAAAGGAATGTTACTATAGAGCGGGCTGTGTGTTTCTATAAGTCTAGAAACGCTGACTGGAAGAGCTACCGGTGCAGTTTTAGAAACCCCGTGGGAAAATGAACAGTGCATGTTCCAGGTGGATAGAAACGATCCATTTTTCATAAAGGTTCATCTCCCATTTCAGCTTCTAAAAGCACAAGCGGGAGTTTCGCAAGAGCTCAGGACAGAACAGCAACCAGAATTTTTTTTTTAACATGAAGACTGTGGGGGATTCTCCGCTGTACTCCACGAGTGCGTCTGAGTGCTGAGCTGTTATGGAAATCTGGCCAGAAATGTAAAGATCCAACTTCCTCTTCCACACAACCAAAGAGCAGCTGATGCATGAGAATGCAGTTTTATGAAAACCGCAATATGTATCTGCTTAGTCATCGCTCAAAATCCAAAGGCAGCAAGACCCACTTTGATTCATTTCAGTGTAATGTATTTGCAACCACAGACATGGAGAGCACAGGTTATTATATAGGATCGGAAGGGATAATACAGTTATGTCTAAGGTGCAATAAAAAATGATACAATCCATCCAGAAGAACTTTGTATGATTGCAGCAGCATCCAAGGAAAAAAAAGGGTAGTTTCAACCAGGAGAGGGGATGCAGTCTGAGCTGGAAACTGAATCAAAGCCTGTGAAAGGCCAGGCAATGGTGCCTTGAGGTAAAGACAGAGAGTGCAAGGAACACGGGAGTTTTCGGGGGTGTAGGTTGTAGCCGTGTTGGTCTAAGGACATAGGCAGACAAGGTTCTTTGGGTGATATCTCAGGAAGTTTTCGGCTGTTTCCCAAGAGCAGCACAGAGAGAACCTCAGAGCATAGTCCATACATCAAAGAATAAGGCTTCCCAACCCCCCTTGGAAATTAAGTAAGTATCAGTGTCTCCATCAGAGCCCTGTGGAAAAGGGTCTTTCCAGTTGACAGAGGACGCAACTATTTCAAAATTCAGTGTTTCACAGGAGTGGGGTTTTTCACTGCTCTTAATGCCAGATGCTGAGGTCCAGGCCCATTAGAAACCCCAGCCATAAATGTGTAAGAGAGTTTAACTCACTGCTCTATACCCAATTACCACTCAGTGTGTAACAGGGCCTTGTGACGCTCACATTTATCTGTATTAAACCTTCACTCACCTAACACCAATGAAAAGAGAAGACAATTTCACTCATAGCAATTTATTTGTAAGAGTAGACATGCAGGGCCCCGATTATTGTGCGCGTGCCAAAGGGGAGGCAATCGGGCTTTATCTAAGCTGTATGAGCAAGGCTATGATCTGGCCATATAAACATAGTGTGATTCCATCCATGTCCAGGAGAAAACCGGATGCAGGTAGGCAAGTGAATAATGTTGTCCAGTTCAGCTGACCATCAGTTTGTCGAGGTCGAGAGGGCAAAGCCCACTCTGTTGTTGGCTATATCAAAGACAGAGTAGTATTGTCTCAGGAAAACATTACCCAGGATCCAGACTGGTTGTCCGTTCTGGGAATTCACATAAGTGGTCTCCACCCCAATATAGCAGACGTCTTGGTCCTATAAGAGGGGAAAAGAAGTGAAGACAGCTTCAGTGCTGCTGTTTGAATAGGCAGAAGGCTATCAATGCTTCATTTTACATGCTCTGTAGAATAAAACGACAACTTTGCACTGAACTTAGAGGGAACCAGATCAGGCCCCACCAAGGTCAATGTTTTAGCAGTGCAAACACACCCATGTTTGGAGGGCTGCTAGAAACAGCAAGCAGAGAGCAACAGTGCAGGTGGGATGCCACTGGCCACAGGGACAAGTTTCCTTTCCTCGGGAAGATAAAAGCCGACTGTGCCAATAGAGCAACACTTACATTTAAGACGTAGACTGTGGGTGGCAGTGATAGCTGGTTTCCATTCACAGAGAAGGTGAGGATGGGCATGTTCTGGATATTATTGCAATCCACTTCCCACTGTGGGAGAAAAAGATAAAAGGCTATGAAGCCTCCATCAACCTACAGCAAAGGACGCTCATACACCAACACAGGAGAGCAGCCTGTAGAAGGCATCAACCCTTCCCATCCAGGGGAGTGTAGGCATCGGTCTGCAGTGCTCTGCCATCAAGTGGGCAGCAGTTTCACCAGCCTTGCACTCATGCTCTTCAGCCCAATATAGGGGAGGTAGCCACGTTACACTCTCCAGCTCTCATGTGGCTCATCTGGGAATCATTATCTGATCACACCAAAGCCCAGCATTATCATCTTGTTTTGTATTGGATTCCTTGTATGAAGCACTGCAAAATGCATTGCCCATGCCTTTACAAGCTCTGTAAGCACCTGTTGCACCTACATAATCGCTGTTTTCTGGGACACCCACGGCCTGCAGCAACTCCCCTATGTATTGCTCGGGGACAGTAAGCTGAAATGTTCCAGTGTCCACAATGCCCTGGCAGCCTTGGCTACACCAGCTGGTAGTGGTCTGTCCAATGGAGAATCTAAGGAGATAAGCACAAGAGACCTCACTAGTTTGCATGCATCTCCCAGCAACGAAAGCTGACTTGGGTAAGGTGCATCTCAAGAACACAAGACTCCTGATAGTCCCCTACAGTTGAGCTGTTACGCCCAGGACTGCAGTTGAAGAGGGTCCCTAAGGCCATTTGTAGACATGCTTACCATTTTCTAAACCACGTTCACTGATTCACATCACACAGTTTGAATCAAACTTCAATTCAAATGAAGGGTTAATAGACAACCATTGACCTGATAGCCTCTGTTGTCTCACAAAAGCCCAAATGAGTTTCCCTTGCCAGGACTGATATTTGCAATGCTTATCTGCATTGCAAATACAAGTTCCTAAGGAGTCGTATATACATGTTAATTAATACAGTTTAAATTGCCTAATTTGCACTGCCCTAATCTGCATTAATTTTAAATCCTCATTCAATGAGGATTAGTCAGTTCGGAGTGGAGCCAATCTTAGTTCGGACTACAGACATCCTGTATAAAGGTGGTCCAGATTAAACCTAGAAAAACATAATGTCCCAAGACATTAAGGAGGAAGAGCTCATGCCTACCATGTTGATCAACGAAGGCTGTGAATAAAACTTACTCCTCAATAGCGATCTTCCAGTAGACCTCTTGGATAACAGGTGCCCACATAATCTCTCCTGAGTACAGCTGAGAGTCAACGCCTCCTAGGATGACTTCTCCTCCATAATAATAAGTTGGTTTACTGGAAACACACAGATGAGGCAAACATCAGGTACTCCACAATGTAATAGTCTGTGAGGATGAAGGTGTAAAAAAGGGCTGGTAGGGTTGGTTAACAAAAACGTATGGGCAGGGTTTGGGTTGACAGGCAGAAATTGAATAAATGGCACACTTTGGGGGAGGGGATGCATGTGTGCATTTAAGAAAGGGAAGGAGGGTTTGTTCAATTGTAAAGACATACACAAAAAAGAGTGGGGCACAGGGACAGCGAGCTTACCGGGAGAAATAGAAACTGAAGATGGGCTCGGTAAGCTGGTCTTGCCGCAGCAGGTTCTGCATAAGTGAATAGTACCCTGGTATTGCTAAGTCAGGATAGGCCATTCCCAAAATCCCATCAAAATAAGTGTAGTAAAAGGGGCTGGTGGGCTCATATCCCGTCAGACCAAACACCTGGTTGGTCACCACAACGTTTTGGATCTAGAAGGGAAGAAAATAACTGCTTTAACCTGGAACTTGACACAAAATCGTGATCATGAAATCAAGCGACTCGGCTACTATCGAGAACGTGTGATGCTTAAGACATTCAGATTAAGCACATAGCAAAAGGACACTCAGGGCCTTGATATTACCTGAAGCAGTTCAATGTACTATGCCTGGCGCGTGAGTCAGATGAGAACAGATTATGTCAATCAGAGAAGAAATTTCAAGGCCACTGTTTTGAAAAATATTTTATGACATAATCAGCTCACATGATTCCTATCTGACCCAACTCCCTGGTTAATTTTAGACTTGTCTACATGAGAAGGTTGCACTAGTTTAATTTAAATTCGTTTTTCAACCAGTCTCCTTAAGCCAGTATAAACCCCTGAAACTCATAGTCTGAGAGCAGGTTATTTTAGTTTTACTTAATGAAAGCAAGCCAGTTAGTACTTTGTCCCTGATCAACTTGAACTGCACCAGAACAAGTTATTCTGAGATCAACAAGTGTCTTCACTGAAGGATTTCTATCAATTAACCCAAATCCATATAAATTCATATCCTAAATTAAACTGGGTCAAGTTTCTCATATCCGAAACACACATTGCATCGTAGGATGTTTATGGCTTGTCCAATAACATAAAAATCAGATGTCCAGGGCCAATTTCTTCATGGATGTTGAAACCGTGAAATTCATGGAACTGATCCATAGATAAGTTTGATTCATAAAATGCCTTTAGATCCAGGTCTCCAAGTCCTTTGCTGTAAATTTAGGGCAAAGTCAAATTCTACCCATAAGATGTAGCAACCTGCAGCATAGACAGCAAGGTACTTTCAGTTACTCTCATGTTCTTAACCCAAATATAGAGGGATAGATACTTCCAAAAACATGTCCCCCCAGTGATGCTGCATTATAGGGCGGCACAAATTTCACTTACTGTCACTGTGTCAGAACCTAACGTCACGTCCACCTCACCAAATCCATACGGGAGGGTGTAGTTATTTCCAATAGCAGAGTAGGTGGAAGACTGGGTAGGGTTGAACCTCACATGATTGGCTGTACAAAAAAACAGATTCACAACATCAGAGTCACTCTCTCGTGTGGCTGCAATGTGATTTTGACCCAGGCCTTTCCACTTGTGGACAAACTTCCCAACACGTGTCCTCCCATGGAGTGAAAGATCAGGTCTACAAGCTAGCTCAAGAGTCTATAAATGGCAGAGTAGCAAAGATAAGCAACAAGACTTCATATATTCAGTTTTAGTGCCTAGCTTTTCTATCTGAGGATGATATCTCTGTTACTACCTGAGCTCCTGTAGCCAGAACCTCATGTACTACAAGTCAGCGTGGCTCTGCAGACGTCAAAGGAGCATTATCAATTCATATCAGATGAAAAAATGGACAATACTCAAATATACTTCTCAGGAACAGTACATCCAGAACACACATCTCTAAACTCCAGTGGCAGAGGAATACTCACAACAGGCCTGTGTCTGGCAGTAGGTAGATGGTACCCACAGATTAGAGGAACCAGTGTCAAAAAGAACCAGGAAGGTCTGGGGCGGGGTCCCGATGGTGATTTCCCCGAAGTAGAAGGACTGCAGAAGAGAGGAGATGTCTGCAAAGGCAGATGCATTTCTTTTATGAGTCATTAATCATTTGTAAATACTATTATGATCTTCTCTAGCACATTTTGTCTGAAGGTCTCAAAGTTACATATGGAAAAGAGATGCACAGAGGAGGAGAAAAGAAGTGTGGCAAATCCAGGGTGAATTCTTTACCCTCTGTCCTGTGCTATAACCAAGAACCTCCTATTCTTGCAGAAGACATGTGATATACAGTAGATAACACTCAGCAAACTCTCATGAGAAATAAAAGAGGGGAAAAGCATTAGAATTCAAGCTCTGTCCCGTCCCCCCATCCCCCCCAGATGGGACTAACATTAAAAATAGGAAGTGTTGGTTTATTTTGATCCTTTTGATTTTTCAAATGTACCCAACCCTAGGGCTAGGGACAGAAGTTGCACATAAACTGGTATAAGGGATCAGAAACCAGTTCAAATTTGTAACACAACAGAAGTTCAGTGCACATAAACCACTTTCAAAATGGCTGAAACTGGTTTAAGATAAACCTGGCTGAATGTAGTATCAGACTTAACTGATTTAGGTTAAACAGGTTTATTAAACTTCTGTCCCAGATCCCCTCCAGATTCAAGTTAACTCACAGTCCCCCAGCATCCCAGGATGCTCTGCACCTCCCCTCACAGGGTGGGCAGGCTAGCGTTGGCTAGCAGGGAGGCTGTCTCTAGTGCCCCCCAGCTTCTGGCCTGGTACACTGCAGGCATGAGGATGTATTTCTGGAATAAAAAAAATGAATGTCTGTTCACTCGCTTATCGGTTCTAGCCTGCGTAGTCTAAGCAATCTACGCAACTTAGACTAACTTACAAAGATGGGCTCTATTCAGCCTTGGGCTTTTTGGCCATCTCTACTTAGCCTAGAAGCACAATATTAAAACCAACTCGAACCAGAGAACAGGCTTCCTAGGAGATCACAACATTAGATTGACATTTGACCATAAAAAGGAGGAAGAAACAAGCAGTGCATATGTGGGGGCCTCACAAGGTCACAGAATGAGGAGCTAGGATTCTTGGAGAAGCAGATAGGCAGGGAAGAAGATTTATTACTCACATCCAGGTAGTTGGCTATTGATTCATGGGCGATATTGTATTCATTGAAGTGGTACTTCCTGCCTCGGTCATGTTTATGTTGCTTCAGAAAATCCTCCAGCACTCCCTTGTCCTTCATCAGCTCTCGCATGGACTTGCCTTTCCTCAAACGGACTCTGCACAGGAGGAAGGGAAAAGCTGCAGACATCAGCTGGGAAACTGAACATCCTTCAAGCAGGTCTCATGTTCCTGCTCTCGGCACCCTGCTGCAATGTGTTCCCTGACCTCAGGAACCTCTTACTGCTCAATGGGTGCATCTACACATTCATTAATGTGCCTTAGATAATGCACATTTAGTTTAGTACTTCCTTAATAAAGTACTAACTAAAAGTGCAGGTCCTAAAGTCACTGCACAGTACAGCCAGCGAATACTTATTTAGTGATGCTTAGTGCACATTAGCCTAATAACACTGCACAGTAAGCTATTAGCACGGTTTTTGCTGTGCCAAGCTACTGTGCACTGTTATTAGGCCAATGCTCACTAAGCGTTTTGTGTAGACGCTCCCAGCATGTTTCTACCCAAAGCAAAGAAGCATGTGCAAAGGCATAAACTCCTAGTTATTAGAGTCCTTAAAAAAAGTGGAGGATATGGCTAAGCTGAATGCAGGAGTGCTGCCCTGTCTGGCTAACACCTGGTAGGAACTGGTATACGCTGCACTGCACCAGGATACTCACCTCACCAGCCCCTCGGAGAGCTGGAGGCAAACCAGAGCCAGGATGAGCCACTTCATGGTGCTCGGCTTCTCCAGCAACCAGCTTCCACCCAGAATGAGTAATTTTACCGTAGTGAGGCTGGGCTGAAGGCTGCCTTCTGCACTCCTTACTTTTATACCCAGCGAATGCCACTCCTCTCCTCCATTATCTGCTGACACCCAGTTTCCCATATCACTGTCAGCCACTTAATGTCGTTTTCATTCCCTCACGCGTATTAAGAAGTTCATTTCCTTTGTCAGGCGCTGAGATTGTAAAAGCCATTAGGGCTTCTGATAGTGAAATCAAATTACTAACATCTGATAAGATGCGAACGACTGTGTACAACAAAGAGGTGTTATCAAAATGTCATTGCACTGGGGTGGTATTCATTGTTCTCAAAAACTGGTTTGCTCTTTCCAGAAACAAAGGAATATCTTGGTCTTCGCAACGAATGTAAATTTATGATACTGTTATCCTTCTTGACCTCCAAATTTTGCCAAAATTCTGGGTCTACAGGGTATTTTGGTTTGAAGGAGAAATTGATGTCAGGAATCAGATATTTCTTTGATGCAAAGCTGTTCATTTAGAAACACTGTACAATGTCCTGTTCCTCTACGGAGCAGGAATCAAAAACAAGAAGACAGCTTCTTTGTTCGTAGTTTCAAGCCCTTCTCTAGCCAGCACTCAGCCAAAAAACTGCTCTCTCTCAGCATCTTCTTAGGGCCATGCCCTCTGCCATTTCTTTGGTTTTCTTCCTTTCAGTATTATTTCTGAACTCTTTGTTATTTCCCTCTGCCCCAATCCAATCAATTCGTCTACCCACAGCTGGTCATCAGATCAGAGGGGAGCCCTCCCTGGGTTTCAAGGGGGACTTCTACTCCAGTCTGGTACTTGGCTTGTTGGGGGAGGAAACCACTACAGCTACAAATGTGTGCTCCGTACAGGAGGTCAATAGTTTTAACAATGTCTTGTAAAAGAAAGGGAGTTGTTAGACCCGCCAGTGAAGTTGTATAACATTTCATTGGCCTGGTTTCTAGTTTCATTTCCACTGGAGTAAATCTGGAACAGCATAGCCAGGACATTATTCCAATGCAATATATTATGAAATAACAATTTCACTTAAACCGAATAGTGCTCATTTTCACTTGTGTTTCTTGGATTTGCATCAACAAATGCACATTTTCCACTATTCCAATCTGAAGATTTGGAACATTAAGCTGCTAAAATTAAAGCCAACGGTACTATAGTATCTCTACAAATTTTCAGTTGAATAGGTGAGAAACAAAGTGTTCTTCCATTTTCTTTAGCTGAAGCTGACACATTGTCTGCTGACTCTATAATTTCTATTTAAAGAGGTGAAACTGTAAAAAGCCATAGTGTTTTGGAAAACATAGACAAAGGAAATCCCTGCTCTCCTGAGGATTATCACAGTGGTGGTAACACACAACTGTAAAAACATATGCTAAGCCTTTTTTGTCGTAACATAAGCAGCTCATGCTTTTCTTGTAAAAGGGTGCCTGAGATATATCCAGCTAAACAGGGTTCACAGAAATTTATGAGCTATGACCCCAAAACAAAAACTAACTGAACTTTTGGATAAGGTAATCCATGTTTTTTGATGAATGGTATCAGAATTTAAGACAAATGAAAAGCAAAATTGTGCTTGAAGAGGGAGAAATCCCTGAAGTTTACAAATGTCTTCCGATATCTTTGATACAGAGAGAGGTAGAGATACAACTTCAACCATTTCAAGGCTCTTGAATTCTATCCATGATTAATTAGAAACTTTCTACTACCAATAGTGGTTCATAATGGTGGTGATTTCAAGGCTACCAGCAACTCTCTATTGCATGGGGGCCAGTATCCGTTGCCCAGAATACAAGTTGCATTTGCTTCACTGCATAATGATAATAAGCATTAGTCCAAGATCAATCCAACCCAAACCTATCTACAAATGGATATTAAAGGCAGTGACAACAAGTCCTCACCATTAGCCAGCACAAAGGGTTTCCATTATAACAAGCTAGTCTTTGGAATAGCCTGTGCCCCTGCTATTTGTCAGCAAGCAATGGAGCATGTACTACAGAGCATTCCTGGCACTCGGCGGCACACACCCCAGCTCATATCTGGAGCATGGGACCGAGGATGAAAAGCAGCTCCAAAGGTCCTGGCCTGCATATGGGCTTAGCATGAACAAGGCAAAATGTAACTCGGTCTTTGAAGCACATCCATTTGGGGTCCACACCTTTGACAAAGACATTGTGTATAAACCACAAACGAAAGATCATGTTCTTCAGGTGCCACAGCCACAAAACGTGTCACAATTACATTCGTTTCACAGAATCATGGAATCATAGAAAATGAGGGTTGAGAGGGACCTTGGGAGGTCACATCTAGTCCAGCTGCTCAAAGGAGGACCATCCCCAACTAGATCATCCCAGCCAAAGCTTTGTCTAGACAGGTCTTAAAAACCTCCAAGGATGGAGATTCCCAAACCTCTCTGAGTAGGCTATTTCGGTATTTTACTACCCTCCTAGTGAAAAAAGTTTATCCCAATATCTAAACTAAATTTCCCTTGCTGCAACTTGAGCCCATTGCTCCTTGTTCTGTCGTCTGCCCCCACTGAGATCAGTCCAGCTCCATCCTCTTTTGAACCCCACTGCAGGTAGTTGAAAGTTGCTATCAAATCCCTGTTCCATCTTCAGTTCTCTAGACTAAATGAACCCAGTTCCCTCAGCCTCTCCTCACAAATCATGTGCCCCAGCCCCCAGACCACTTTTGTTGCCCTCTGCTGGACTCTCCCTAGTTTTTGCCACATTTCTTCTGTAGTGGGGGGCCCAAAACTGCATAGTTTGAGGTGATGGTCACTAGTTGCCAGAGATCCTTACCTCACTCTCTTTCAACATCACCTCCCCTAAATGAATTGCTGTTCAATGAGCAGAAATATCATATGCTTATATGACATGAAGGGGACCTTACTCACTGCAATGCAGCTTTGCCTCTAAGGATAGTTTTTGATGCTTCCCCATATGGACTAGGCGGTATTAATTGCACATGTGGTGGGAGGTCTCACTGAAAGGACTAAGGCATTGGATTTGAGGTCTCATCTCAGCAGGATCAAACTATACTCAAACTGAGAGAGAAATGCAGTGTCTAGTCTCAAGAGTTAAGAAATGGCACTAGTAGCTGCATGGGGAAATGGGAGGTAGCATATAATCTCCACATTTCATAGCAGTTAAGAACAGGTTAATAAAGAAATAGCCAGTCAGCAATAGCTGGCAGAATAAGATGCCACGAAGCAGAAGGGTACACAGCCAGAAAGGACAGGAGCTGCCTAGAAAGCCGACGCATATCCCCCATATCAGTAGATGAAGCCTCCAAACCACCCCTCTCTCCAGACAGATAAGTCTAGCGTCTCCATTAAAGCTCTGTGGGAAAAGGTTGTTCCACTTTACAGAGGGTTCAACTATTCTAAAAGTCAAGGAACATGGGTGGGATTCCCCATTGCTCTCAATGGGAACTGCTGAACACTGAGCTGTTTTAAAAATATGACCAGAAGAGTATAAAAGGGAGGTTAATTAACTGCTTCATTCCCAATTGACAGCTGATGGGTGCTAAAGGGGCTGAGACCCACAATGAACTGTGTTCAATCTTCACTCAACAAACTCCAAAGGAGGCAAGAGACAATTTGACTGACAGCACTTTATTTGTAAGAACAGAAACGGAGTGCCCTCATTATTGAGCACATGCCAAAGGGATGGTAGGGCGCATGAAGGGGGCATCTAAGGTGCATGAAGGGGGCTATGATCTAGCGATTCCATCACAGTGTCCAGGAGAAAGCAGGCAGTAGCTAGGCAAGTGAATGATGTCGTCCGGTTCAGCTGATCACCAGGTTTGTCTAGTTCGAGAGGGCAAAGCCCACTCTGTTGTTGGCCATGTCAAAAACAGAGTAGTATTGTCTCAGGAAAACATCACCCAGGATCCAGAGCGGATGCCCACTCTCGGAAGCCACGTAAGTCTCCTCCACAGCGACAGAGCAATAGCCATGGTCCTGTAAGAGGGAAAAAGAAATAAAGAGCACTTCAGGGCTGTGGTGTGAACAGGAATCAAAGGTGCAACGTGGACGCTCGATAGAATCAGCGAGAGCATTGAGAGGAGATCAGGCCCCATGAATTCCCATGCTAGAAATGTAAAGACACCAGCACTTGCAGTGCTGTCAGAAGTGACTGCTAAACAGAGCTGCCATGTCACAGGGAGTCTCTGCATGTGCACAGAAACTCCCGTGCTTTGTGGGCCACCCGGGCAGGTGACATTGTCTCAGTAAGATAAAAGCTGGTTGTGCTCGTAAGCCATACGTACGTTGAAGACGTAGATGGAGGGCGGCAGCGGGAACTTGACCCCATTGATGACGAAGGTGAGCGTGGGCATGTTCTGGATGCTGCTGCAGTCAACCACATACTGTGGGAGAAAGGAGCAAGATGTGGTTTAGATACCAGCAACCTAGAGGACAGGCCGCTCTCATGCCAACACAAAGAGGCCGCAACAAGGCACCAACCCTTGCCATCCAGTGGAGGGTGGGCACCACTCTGCAGTGATCTGCTCCTAGATGAGCAGCAGCTATGTCAGCCTCGCCTGTGCTCCCCTGCCTCGCCTGTGGGAAGCAGCAAGACTCTCCAGGCCTTCTACACCTCCCATGCATATTTGATAGTGGGCCAGCCCCTCTCTGCTGATTTACCCCAATCTAATGACTGGCACCACTGTCCCACTTAGGACTGATACCAGGAAAAAGGAAATCACTGCCTATTTCCCTGAATTTAAGCTAGGAAAGACTGCGTTCCCCAAATGAAGTGAGTCCTTTAGGTCTCCACACTGAGCTCTTCTGGAAACCAAGGTCTGACCACACCAAGCCCAGCAGGATCATCTTTGTATGACCCGGATTCTTTTCCCCAGATATTGCAAAAATCCCACACACAGCCCCAGCAGCTGCGCATGGCACTAACTGGACATACATTGCCATAGCTCTCCTGAGCTCCCACAGCATTCAGGAAGTCCCCCAGGTACTGGTAAGGGACGGTGAGCAGAAATGTCCCCGTGTCCACAATGGCATGGCAGCCCTGGCTGCACCAGCTGGTGTTATTCTTTCCAATGGAGAATCTAAAGGAGGCAAACACAAGAGACTTCAATGCTCATATCTAACAGCAAAGAGAGCCACTCGGATGCAGGCCAAGCTAAGAGCAGAAGCCTTATGATACCTGGACCTCTGGTGTTCAGGGACCTCTAATAAAACACAGCCTGTCATTGGCCCTGGGTCAGCAGAGTCCATAAGCAGAGGCTTAACTCTCAGCACTTACTGAAACCCATCTCTATGCAGCAAAATACTAACTTAAATAAGTGCTCAAGTGCATGCACCTAACTTAAATAAGTGCTCAAGTGCCCATAAGTACCAACCACTCCAGTCTGATCTAGAAGAGGGCTTTGCCTTATCCATCACTTGTTCAGTCTCCTGCACAGAAAGGCTGATCGGGCCCAGGGCACCCGACTGCAAGAACCGCAGCTGGAGAGGTTCTCTACGAGGCATGCAAGCTCAGGCCCAGCATGTTGATACGTGAATGGTGCAAACAAAGCTTACTCATCAAGAGCGATCTTCCAGTAGACCTCCTCAATGACAGGGGCCCACGTGATCTGCCCAGTGAACAGCTGAGAGTCAATTCCTCCTAAGATGACTTCCCCTCCATACTGGTAGGTTGGGTTGCTGGAAACACAGATCATTTCAGAGATCAGGTATAGTTAGCAATTAAATCCCTGTGAGAATGGCGTTGGTAAAAAATAGACAGACAGACAGACAGAGTGAGCAAGGGACATATCTGAGAATAGTAAGATGTAAAGAGCCGTACAAGAAGGGGGAGAGATCTTACCGGGAGAAATAGAAACTGAAGATGGGTTCAGACAGCTGGCCCTGCTGCACCATGTTCTGCATTAGCGTGTTGAAGCCCGGTATCGCTACACCTGGATAAGCCATTCCCAAAACCCCATCATAATTGGAATAGTAGAAGGGATCAGTGGGCTCATCCACACTCAGGCCAAACTCCTGATTTCTGACCGTGATATTCTGGACCTGTTGGGGGAAAAGGTCATAGGATCATAAGAAAGCAGGGCCAGAAGGGCCCTCATGAGCCATCTCATCCATCTCCCTGCCCAAGGCAGGATCATTCCTGACTAGTACTACACCATCCCAAGTCCAGTGTCTGTCTAACCTGCTCTTGAAAATGTTGATTTTAGCTGGAATTTTACACAAAATTATGAACATGGAATCAAATAGTTATATAAAGCACATTATGAAAGCTCAGGTGCGGTCTGATGCTTCTTTAAGGAAATGATCATGCTTGATTTGGACTGGGAGTAAGTTAAGAGATTGTCTCTATCAGAGAAAATTCATTACATTCATATTAATTAAACACGGAAGAAAAAAAAGACATAATCACAGAATTTGTGCCTGGGAATTATGGGAATAGCTAGCATTACTCTGAATGGGTCATGCCCTGGTTAACTCAGAGGATGTCTAAGTAAATTACACTAATAGAACTTAAATCAGTTTTAAACCCATTTACCATATAAAAACAGATCAAAAGTCCTGAATACACACTTTATTTCAGTGTAAGAATGAGTTTATCTCAATTTATCTTACCAACATAAGCCATTCTTATTTACCTGATCAATTTAAAAGTTTAACAAAATAGGCCATTCATAAATCAGCAGCGTGTCTACATAGTGGTTTGTGTCAATTTAACGAAGCAGGTTTACTTATCACTCACTTGAGGAAGTTTCCCTGGATACCATTACTTACTATGTCCTGTAATAGCCAAGGCTGAAACAGCAATATAAAGTTAAAAAAACACCGGGCTTAATTCATCACAGATGCAACAACACTGACGTCAACAGATTAAAACCTTGGCTGCATGCCTCTCCTAAAAGGAATCTCAACAAAACGTCTGTAAACACCACCCCTTCCTTCTGGAGTGATGCATCACAAATTTATTTCCAAGCTGCAGGCAGTTGCAGGGTCGTCGAGACTTTACTGACAACTTCCTGAAGTTCTTCATCTGAGCGTGGCCGAACAATTGCAGAGCACAAACGCTGATGGGAGAACAGAGCCATACCTACTTGACTTACCATCACTGTATCGTACCCCAGCAGAACATACAAGTCACCGACGCCGTAGCACAGGGTGTAAGACTCTCCAATGCTGGAATAGGTGGATGACGCATTAGGGTTGAACTTTGCGTGATTGGCTAGATGAAAAAGAAAATCACAACCCCAGGGTCACTTCCATGTGGGCTGCAGTATGCTTGGAGGTACTTCCACGTCACTTCCATGTGGGCTGCAGTATGCTTGGGGGTGCTTCCCCCTGCCTAGTCACTAATTCTCCATATGCTCACACTTGTTAAACAGTTGATTCACCAGAGATTTAAAGAACAGGTCTAAGAGTTAGTGCGGGACTTATCTTTATATGGCACACACTGATGATAAGGCCACATAACCACAAATGTTAGCTTTGAAGGCATATCTATCTATCAGTCTTTCACACCTATCGCCACAGCATGTAAGTAGGTATTACAGGGTAGCTTTATATGAGACAAAAGGGCTATATGGCGATTAATGCAAGCTGAAGATCTGCAAAGGAATTGTCCATTTGTACAATTTGTCATCTTGCAGGATGACTGATTTAGTTTTCGAGCACACACTGTGGTGTTGTACACTGCAGTGGCACTGATGACAGCTGTAGAGATTTTGGACAGCTTCATTAGGATACTATAGTACCTTTCTGATGAGAAAAAAAGTGACCAGGACCGTATTCATATGAATAGGGACAAGCAGATACAGGAGAAAGACTCTCCCCCAAGAAAAGTTTGAGAGGGGCTGGGTTTGGTTTGGTAGCTCGGGTTTTCCCCAGCTGAATCAGAACTTGGCTCTTTCTCAGGAACAATCCCCACCCTTAGACATGGCCCCACTCAGGTCTTAACAGCAGAGAAGTACTCACTACAGGCCTTGTCCTGGCAGTAGGTAGATGGCACCCACAGGTTAGAGGAGCCGGTGTCGAAGACAACCAAAAAGGTCTGGGGGGGAGTCCCAATGCTAATCTCTCCGAAGTAGAAGGACTGCAGAAGAGAAGAGACAGGTGCAGAGATGGATTTGGATGTGCTGTTAATCAATTGTACATCCTATTTTCTAGCTCCTGCTGTATAAGGATGGCAAAAAGTCACCAAGTAGTTACTTCACAAGGGCAAAGTAAGGAGTATGCCATTATTTCATCGGGTCTCTCGAACATCTGAAGAATGAAGAGGAGCAGCTATTTGCTTATCTGCTCCAATCAAGTCATCAGGAGAGCCAGGGCCAGAGTCCTGATTTCTCAATTACGTTATAAGTGTAACCTTAACACCCGTTCTGGGAGTAAACACGTATTGACCCGCAGTCCCGTGTTCGTCGGGTAATGCTAGCAACCTCGAGGACCCGTTCGATTCCAATATGACAGTTGGTCTGTCCCATTTCAGAACGGATATCGGTATACATTTGCAAGGTTTGAGAAGAGGGATCACAGCATTCAATTGACTAGGCACTAGGACCGTAAGGAGAGAGGAAGGCATGGGCACTGTAACACGAAGACGACATACAAGTACGTAGCTGAGAAGAAAAACAATACTCACGTTCAGGTAGTTGGTCATTGGCTCATGAGCAACGTTGAGTTCATTCAAGTGGTACTTCCTGCCTGGATCATATTTATGGTGCTTCAGAAAATCCTCCAGCACTCCCTTCTCCTTCATTGCCTGTCCCATGGACTTGCCTTTCCTCAAAGGGACTCTGCAGAGGAGGAAGAGAAGAGCTCCGGACATCAGCCGGGAAACTGAACATCCTTCAAGCGGGTCTCATGTTCCTCTCTGCACCCTGCTGCAGCGTGTTCCCTGCTATCAAGACCCTCTTGCTGCTCAGCGTGTTTCCACCCAAAACAAAGATGCAAGTGCAATGGCATAAATGCCTAGAGTTATTAGAGCCCTTAAAAAACCCGAAGGATATGGCTAAGCTGAATGCAGGAGTGCTGCCCTGTCTGGCTAACACCTGGTAGGAACTGGTATACGCTGCACTGCACCAGGATACTCACCTCACCAGCCCCTCGGAGAGCTGGAGGCAAACCAGAGCCAGGATGAGCCACTTCATGGTGCTCGGCTTCTCCAACAACAATCGGCTGGTGTTCACTGCGGCAAAGCTGGGCAGAAGATTCCCATCTGGAGTTCCTTACTTTTATACCCAGAGAATGCCACTCACCCGATGGTTATCTGCTGACGCCCAGTTTCTCATATCACCACGTTCAACCAACGGCAACATTTTTAAAATACTTCTTTATAAATGTAAGAATTTTGTCCCCTTTGTCAGGTGCTGAGATTATAAAGCCATTAGAGCCTTTAGATAGTGCGATCGTACAGTTAAGATCTCATAAGAAGGAGATTACTGCTCGTAACAAAGAGAATTGTTATCGTAATTGCCAGTGCACGGGAGTGTTATCTGTGCCCTTCCGTTCTTTCCAAAAGCAAAGGAATACAATGCTCATTGTGATTAATGGAAATTTATAATACTCTGATGCCTTTCTGAACCTAACTGGTAGCCAACCTTCCTCATCTAGTGGGCTGGTACAGTTTCAAGGAGAAAACAAAGGCAAGAGACAATTTCTTCATTATAAAGAATGTCAGAAGTCTTGTTTCTCTGAACAGAGCAGGTGTCAAACAGCCGGAGACAATTTCTTCCCTCACAATTCCCAGCCCCCTTGCAACCAGCACTTAACCCAAGAAACCTCCTCTCTCCAGGCTTTGTTTCAGGACTGTGCTCCCTATGCCAGTTCTGATGTCTCCTTGGCTTCTTGTTCTTTTCCAAGTGTGTATTATGTACTTCTTTCTTCCCCCTCCAGCATATAGCTGCTTCTTTCTTCCCCCTCCAGCATATAGCTGCACCATTGCCATCCAATCTGCTCCTTCCTCTCATTAAAGAAGAATGGACCTTTGGTTCCACAGCTAACTCCTCCTCTGGCTTTTCCTATGACTTTCTTTTGAACAACAGCTCAAGAAGGGAATAGAGGATGTCAGACTATTCAGTAGGCAGAAGACAGCATGGGATCCACAGAGAAATCCTAACTCTCTGTCGTCCCTCCTCCAACCGCCAGGGAAGGATAGGCCATTCCAAATATCCCATCAAAATTCACATAGTAGAAAGGGCTGGTGGGCTCATCCTCACTCAGACCAAACTCCTGGTTTGTGACCACAATATTCTGGATCTGGAGGGGAAGGAAACATTTGCTCTGACCTGGAATTGTACACAAAGCATCAATGAAACCTAAAGACTGTGACATCGTTACAGATGAGTGATGTTCCAACGTACAGGTAAAGCCTATCCCAAGGTTAAGTACTGCTCTAACACCTCTACAGGCAGTTTAATGCAGTCAGTGGCAGGAGTCTTGAGCACAGGCTGTCTCAGAGGAGAAAACCCAGAACATCATCTTGATTGAAAACAAAATAATAAAAAACTATTATAATCATGGAATTCATGAGTAGGAATGGCGAGAATGATTAGTACTGGCTTTTCCACACCAGAATCCAGGCCCAGGCCAACTTAAGCCTCAACTCCATTGGAGAGTTGTGTTGTTTAACGTAAATACTTTTTCAAGTGATTTAGTTAAACTGGTGCAACCCCCTGGAGAGATTCTCTTCTTAGTATGGCATAGCTATACTTCTGCTGAACTTCACCAGATACGCCATCTGGTACCACTCAACATCAGATATCCGAATGAGATCTCCTAACCTGAAATATAGGCATTTACACAGAATTTTTGCTAACTTGCTGACAGCACAGTCATTCTTATATCACTGCAAATATCTCATGCACACAATCCCTTTTTTACGGCCCACAGTAACAATGGCTCCAACACAAAACTCAAACACAGAGAATTTATTCAGGACTCGTGTCAAAGGAGTCAAGTTGGGTGGATTCGACTCAAAGTTCCCTCAGATACATGTCTCCAAGCCCCATCTAGTAAAATTAGAGGAATCTGTCAAAAATTGAGAAAAAAAAGTTGCACGCTAGACAAGTTACTAACAATAACCCCTTGTGGTCCAACCCCAGTATGCTCAGATGAGTCCAAAGACACAGCACAACGGACAATGCAAGATCACGTGGCAATTTCACTCACCGTCACCGTGTCATAACCCAGCACCACAGTCAAGTCACTGCTCCCATAAGAGAGTGAAGGTCTGTCCATTGTTGGAAAAGGTGGATGACTGGCTGAAGAAGAAAGATGAAGACACCATGGTCACTCTCTTGTGCTGTGATTTGTGTCAGGCACTTACTTCTCCAAAACGGACCTCCCGTGGCTTGAAAGAACAACTACAAGACATAACCCTGGAGTTTCTTCATGGCAGACCTGAGAACTAATGTCAACCCAGATCATCTAGAAAACCATTTTGTCACACCCATCTTCTCTACCTATGACATGCCTGTTTCTCCTATCACTATACTGAGCATTTTAGGCCACGTGCCCAGAGGATCTAAACCAGTGCAGTAGTACAACAGTCAAAAGAGCTGTGTCAATTCCCACAGCTGGCAGCAGTTATTGAGATGTGGACAACAATATTATAATACTGTAGAATACCAATAAGGAAAAAAACAAGAGAATCTTTGTTCCAGGAAAGAGCACCAGAAGAGGGAAAGCAGATACAAGAGAATGGCACCCATGAAGAGTGCGAGGGGGTAGGGTTTCTTATGTGTTAATCACAGGTTGACTACCTAACTGAGCAAGAACATACCTAGGACATGCATCTACTGAATACATAGCAGCTGAGCCCTACTCACAACAGGCCTGACTTGGCAGTAGGTAGATGGCACCCACAGGTTGGAGGAACCGCTGTCAAAGAGAACCAGGAACTTTTGGAATGGAGTGCCAATGCTGATCTCTCCAAAGTAAGAAGATGCAGAAGACAGGAGGTGGATACCAATGCGCTATTAACCAACGAAAATAACAGTTCCCCCTTCTCAACACTGTCCACTTGGAGACGGTCGTTTTAGGGTCATTAAGAAATTCGGGTTTACAAGGAATGAAGTCACTGCCATATTACTGTTTTTGGTTGCAACATGGGGTGTCCGAAGAAGGGATAGGAAAAGCAAATTTATTCAGGTCACTATAAATTCAACTGCAAAACCAGGAGCAGAACAGTGGATCTTGAATCCTAAAAGACTTTCGTTGGAGTAACACGTTACCTCTCCAGAAAGCATAAAGCCTTTTGTGAATTATAAAGGGGGACAGGAGTAGAACCACAGATAATACTGTAAAATTCAGGGGTGAGCTTGCTTGCTTAGTATGTTCCTTTAGATTCTTCAAAGGCAGTTTGCCTTCAAAGCACAGTTATCCAAACTCTTCCAAAACAGAGATTTCCAAGGGCTGTGAAAAGGAATCACTACTGCCTATTGACTTGTGGCCATACTGAGAGGAAGAAAGGGGTCCTAGAGAGACAAACGAGGAAGAAATAGAAAGAGAGAAGCAGTTTTAATACTCACATCCAGGTAGTTGGTCATTGGTTCATAAGCGACATTGTATTCATTGACATGGTACTTGCTGCCTGAATCGTATTTATGGTGCTTCGGAAAATCTTCCAAGACTCCCTTCTCCTTCATCACCTCTTTCATGGATCTGCCTCTCTTCAGAGGGACTCTACACAGGAAGCATATCTGCACCCTGCTGTGATCCTGTTCTTTGATCTCAATGTGCTTCTTACTGCTCAGCTGGGTTTTCCCCCAAAGCAAAGCAGCATTCATTTTTCTGTACATGCATTTCCAAAACTCCTACTCAGTGGGATATTTTAAGGACCGTAAGGACATAGCCGAGCTGAATGCAGGAGTGTTACTCTGTTCGTCACTGCACCAGGATACTCACCTCACCAGCCCCTCCAAGAGCCGGAGGCAAACCAGGGCCAGGATGAGCCACTTCACGGTGCTTGGTTTCTCCACCACCAGATGCCTGTCCAGAACACGTGGGTCACTGCAGCAAGACTGTGATCTGCACTCCCTACTTTTACACCCAGGGAACAGCCTCCAGCTCCATTACCTTCTAACACCACATTTCCATATCACTGCGCACACTCAGTGTCAACATTTTCCATATATTTATAATTTTCCATATGCTTATTATTCCATTAATTTTGTATGTGTGTGTGTGTCTAGAAAGAGAGAGATCTATATAGATCTCTCTCTGTCTCCCTCTCATGGATACAAATACACACACACACACAACTTTACAGGAACAGGAAGCTTTTCCCCTTTGTTTGGGGCCAAGATTATAAAGCCATTAGTACGCTTGATAACAAAATCATACTATTAAAGATCTGATAAATAGGACATTTCTGCTCACAGCAAAGAAAGCTGTTATCAAACCATCAGTATGCCAAGGTATTATCTACTTTCCTCGGACTGGTGAATTCTTTCCAAGAACAAATGAATAACTTGTTTTTTATAACCAGTGGACATGTTTGGCACTCTAAACACTTTCTGACCTGAAGTGTTAGCCCAACGTCATCCTGTGGGCTGTTAATAGTTTGAAGGAGAACTTTCTGCTCGGGTTTCTTTGTTGCAATGTATTACTGCAAGGGTAGCAACAGGCTGTTTCTCTGAACACAGCAGAAATCAAATAGCCGGGGACGTTTTCTTTGCTCAGAGTTCCCAGCCACTTTCTTGCCAGCCCTTAGCCCCAAAAGCTCTCTCTGTCCCTCTTGTTCTTGATTTTTTTTTTTCTCAGGGCCACACGCCCTGTATTTATTCTGCCTGTTTCTGGCTGATTGAGCACACAAACTCACATCCATCCTCTCTGAATTTATCGGACAGCTACAGTAGAAATACACTTTAGGTAGCAGGGCTAGTTCCTAGTCCATGGGACTTATCTTGGAAGATATCTATTCAATAGAGTAAAAAGTAATAGAGCTCTAGTTATCCTAAATGAAAGGAAGTTGTTAGCCCCACCAGCTTCAATGTGGGGTAACCAAAAAGCATTTTAATGATGAGACTGAGCTACATAGCATGCTACTGACTGAGTTCTGTTGTCATTTCTCCCCATATAAATGTGGAGTAATTAGTCTGGAATTAGCCAGGAAATTATTTCCCTCTCTTCAAATAATTGCTGTGTATATATAGATAATTTGCATCAATATTGCTTAAACAGTCATTGAGCAACTGAAAGCATAAAAAGAAGGTTGTTTTAAAGGCAATTTTGGTTCATTTTTTGAATTTTTCGGAGAAATTGGATTTTTGGGGGAGGAAATATCCCTTTTTCACACTTAAACATTTGCCAGTAAAAACAGTGAAACAATACATTTTCTATCAGTTATTTCCTATCTATTGCCATAACCCTAGAAGCATGCTAGACCAGCAGCATATGCATGAAGGAATGCCTCACAAATTGGATCTCATTAGTAAATGCAATTATTTCATAGATTTCATAGACATTAAGGGCTAGAGGGACCCAGAGAGATCATCAGCCACCTGCATAAAGATTTCTAACTCAACTATCTCCATTAGGTCATTACAAAACATTAAAACTTTGGAGGGGACAATGACACAGCAATTGGCAACAAATGTGGATCTTTATCCAGGAATACAGGACTACAGGGGCCAAGGGAAAGCAAAACAAAATCTTTTACCTGCAAGGCTGGGAAAGCGAGGAAAACAAGGATCAGACAGAACTGACATTTTTTGCCTGATCCGGCCCCTGAAAGCACTCTATAGCCATGAACAAACACAAGTGCATGGTTGCAGAGCACTTTAAAAGGGCCTGATCCTATGAGAACATTGCATGAGGGTTCAGATGAAGATGCTTTCAAACAAAGCATCCTCAGTAACTTCTGTCTGTGTGCGCCAGAAGCAAGGCTGAGTTAATACAGCTCAGGCCCACTCCTAGTGCTGTCTTCAAAATGGGGGGCAGGGAGGGAGTGGAGGGAGTTTGGTTTGGGTTTTTTTCAGCTAGCTCTGGAGGGTGGGGTGGGTGGATTGGACTCCCCCCACCCCAAGGTGGAGGGGCTCCAATCCACCCACCCCACCGTTCAGCACCGACTGGGCAATCTCCAGAACGAGGTCCCCCCACTCTCTTCCCTCCCACCCATTCTGCAAACATTGCCAAGATCTGGGAAGGGAGAGGGGCATTGCTAGGACAGAGCAGCTGCAGGCTCACATCCACTCTAAACAGCAGCTCGATCTCCCAACCTCCAGGACCCACCAGTGAACGTCTATTGGGTTTGGAGGATTGCTGTAACTCATGGCACTTTTTGCAAAGTGCCATGAGTTACAATGAGGAGCTGCTCTTCTGTCTGTGCCTATAGCACTTCCCGCAAAGTGCCATGAGTTACAGCAGGGAGCTGCACTTCTGTCTAATGTCTGCTTGGAGAAAATGGATAGCTCCTTTGTTAAGGACTTAGGCACCTGCATGGAGTATCAGGAATGAGAAAAAGTAGCACATTTTCTGAGTATCCAAACCTTTATCCTTTTGCACAATTGAACTTCTGCCGTTAAACCAGCAAACAAAATATTCATTGAGATCATGGGGCACTACACAATTTGAGTATTTGCAGATGGAATCAAAAAGAAAATGAAACTGTTATTGAATAGGGGGCTGAAGGGAACTGACAAAAGATTATTTGGGAGAAAGTTGAAACGATGCATTAATGGACATCAGTGTAGCAGGTGCAACATAAAACGACCCCCAAACCAGTTACTGACTTAGGGAGATTTGACCCTAACATGTGCACTTAGACTTGCTGTTTTAATGGAAACTGCTACTGAAAAGGCCAGAGAGCTGCAAAAGCATCAGGGGAATTGTGTGTCAAGCCAAAAACACATTGTGGAGACTAACCAACTTTGTGGTGTTGTTGTGGGAAACTCTTACAATAGAAAAGGTGTTTGGTTCCAGAACAGACCCTATAGGAACTGACATAGGGGTAAGTATACAGAGCAGTGCAAAACACACAGTCACTGCATATTAGAGTAATATGGAAGATTTCAGATAATTAATACGTAGATGACAACAGTATCTGACTGTATCATTTAGGAACCAATAACTGAAGTGTTATGTGTGCTCCATTACAAGTGGAAGGAATCAGATTTAAAATAGAGCTGGGTACTGGGGCTGCTGTGTCTGCAGTTTCATAGCAGGATGACATGGGATGCCTTAGGTGAAGTTGCAGACCTCCTCGGTGCTTCTAAAAGCATCTAGAGGGGAAAGCATTAGCAGAGGGACAATTATAAGATCACAGACTATAGGCCAGAAGGACCCCAGGAGGTCATCACGTCTGTGGCCTGCCTCAAGGCATTTTAACTCTAACCAAACCATTCCTGAGAGAGAGACATCTACCCTGCTTCAAAAACCTTCCAGTAATGGAGGTTCAGCAGCTCCTTTAATCTAGTCCAGTGTTTAGCTGTCCTCACAATGAGCGCTCTTTTCTGATGTCAATCCTAAATCTCCGGTATTACAGTTTTAAACCAATAATGTATAGCTCAAAACGTGTTATAACCACTTCTTTTTTAAGCAAGGGGCTATTTGTTTGGTGTGGCTGAGAGCTTCAGAAAGACTGGCAGAGCATTAAAAATGATTCATTCCAACTTTAGGCTTTTTTGTGCCGACTTTGTGTGCAAATCCTTAGCCCTTGGGGTCTGGACTTCCTTCATACAGACAGAATGATGTGAAGAACAATAAATTGGAAACCTCACATTTGTAGAGGGAGCGCCAGTAATCTTTGTATAGTGCTTACAGTTGGTGCCTCTGAAATGCAGCTTCTTCTGGGGTGGACGATGGCAGCAAACTGGAACAGACTATGCTGCACAACTGTTAGGATATCTGAGACGGAGACGGTGTGGTCCAATGGATTAGGCACTGGGCTAGGATTCAGGGGACCCAAGCCCTATTGTATCCTCTGCCCATAACCTTGGACAAATCACCGCACCTCTATTTCCCTCCTCAATTTCTGTGGAGTAGAGACTGTCCACTTTGTGTCTGTACAGCACCTAGCATGGTAAAGCCTCAAATTCAGCAAAACCATTAGTTGCTAATGCAATGTAATGTTTAACAAAAACAGAGTGATCAGAGCAATTCCCTAATCTATTGAGAGTGCCATGGAATATGAGTTTTAGGCCTCATCCTGTGGACCCACACACGGTAAAATGCATCTCTGGCAGGAACGGTTACTTTGCAATTTACAGGATTTTCTATTTTATAGCATAAAGGTACCAGTATGGCACTTGTCCGGGCAGTATTTGAGCCCCAGTGAATACTGCAGAAAGCGACAATATGCTGTAGGCAAAGAATGAACCGTGCTTCACGCTGTAATCTCTCAGGGGCCTGGAAAGGTCGTGCTATTTTGCAGAAGATTTCAATTTATTGAAATGTGGTTTCCACTAAGCACACAAGAGGGATTCTCCCTGTTCTCAGCAGGAGCTTCTGAATGCTGAGCTCCTTAGAAAGTCTGCCTGGAAATATATAAAGCGCTTAGCTTGCTGCTTTAGAATAATGATGAACTAACAGTCTATGAATGATAATCAGGGCCAGGACTGACAACTAACCAGCTGTGCTGTCTCTTTACTCACAAAGAAGGTAGAAGAGAATTTGATTCACTGCAGTTTATTTGCAACAGCAGATTTGAAAAGCACCCATTACAATACCCAGCCAGGAGGGATGCTCAGGCTGCGTATCTCAGGTACAGTAAGAAGGATAGGATGTGTTCATGCAGCACAGTAAGTAGGAGAGGATCCACTGATACACATTGAATAGGATTCTATCAGCACCCAGGAGAAAATTGCATTTAGCCAGGGAAGGAGCTGCATCCATCCAACTTGGGAGATGCCTGGTTTCTCTAGGCTGATGGGGCAAAGCCAACTTTATTGTTATCCATATCAAAGGCAGAATAATATTCCTTGAGGAAAACATCACCCAGGATCCAGAGCGGTTGCCCATTAGGGGAAGGCAGGTAAGTGGGCTCAATCTCAACACTGCAATTGCCGTTTTCCTGTAAGGGAGATACCAGTGAAGAAATCTTTAGTGCTGGTGTGTGAATACCTTGCTGGCTGCTATCAAGGCTACACACAAAATACCCCTTAGAATCAGTGGCCCTTGAATGGGGCCTGATCAGGCCCCTATTTTAGAAATCTAACTTTTGGGATGCTGAGAGAAATGGAGTCAGTCAGAGCTGCCATGTCACAGGGAAGTCTCTGCCCTTGCACGGAAACCCCAGCCCCTGATGAAATCCTAACAGCATCATTGCGTTGCTGAGATACAACTTGGGTACGCTGTTCAAACAATACGTACGTAGGAGATGTAGGCAGAAGGCGGCAGCGGGAACTGGGCTCCACCGATGGTGAAGGTGATGGTGGGCAAGCTCTGAACGCTGCTGCAGTCAACCACGTACTGTGAGAGGAACGGACAAGAGGGATCACAGCTGCAGAAACCTGGAGGACAGACTTTGCCCCCACCAGCACAGGCGAGCAACCATTGCAAGGCCTTGACCCATCCCCTATAACAAAGGTGGGCACCACTTTGCAATGCTCTGCCCTCAGGTGGGCAGCAGCACACTCCCCTGCCTCACATGGGCAGTAGCCCTGTTGCACTCCCCAGGCAGGCTCCAGATCTCACACTGGGCCAACTCTTCTCCCAGAGTAAATTTCCATGCCTTTGCTAGCACTACACTGAGTTACACCAGCTGGCAAAACCTGGCCCATTAAATTCAGCAGAGTTACTTTGGATCTGCATTGGTGTAAGAGACTTCATGATCCCCCCCCCCCAAAAAAAAAAAAAAAGATATAAAGCCAGGGAAACGATCTCTTCCTGTATAGTATCCCAGCATTAAGCTTCTAGCCATGAATCTCCTCCGGGAATCACTGTGTGATCCCACTTAGCCCAGTGTTATCAGCCTTTTATGACTTATGTTGCTTGTATCAGGTCCTGCAAACTCCCTCCCAGCCATCCTCAATAGCTCAGCAAGGCACCAGCTGCACCTACACTGTCGGGGCCCTCCTGGGCACCCACGGCATCCAAGAAGTCTCCCATGAACTGCTGCGGGACAGCGAGTTGGAGGGTCCCGGTGTCCACAATGGCCTGGCAGCCTTCACTGCACCAGCCAGTAGCACTCTGCCCAATAGCAAACCTGAGGAGCAAGCACAAGAGACCCCCCTCTGCAAAAACCGGCAGCAAGGAGAGCTGCCCTGGGTGCTGGCTGAGCCAAGAACGCAAGGCTCCTGGTAGTCACCTGCAGATCAAAGCCCCGTGAGCTACACAGACAGGAACTGTTGCTCAGCAGAGCACATAAGCACGGGCTTAGCTCCCGGAGCACAGCAAAGCCCATCTCTGTTCAGTACAGAATCATAGGAAATTAGGGCTGGAAAGGACCTCAGGAGGTCATCTAGTCCAGGCATGAATCTTTAAGCATGGTCAGTTAAGGGATTGGGTGCTTCAAATTAAGTCCATGCTTAGGCCTCATTTTACTAATGCTCTTATGACGGGAGCTTTTAAACCAAAACCCTGGGTCCAACCCCTTTTGAGCCAAAGTTTGCCCCTGGATCAAGTCCAGAGCTCGTGTAGGCAGCAGTCACTTCATTCTTAGGACATAGCACAGCCTAACCATTCCTTGGTTTGGTCTCTCCCCAGAGAGCTTGAGCTGGCACAGGGCAGTTGACTGCAGAGGAAGAGTCTCCCTATACACAACAGGGCGGAAAAGACTTGTGCCGGGCGGGCATTTGCCTAATGAAAGGTGCCACCAAGACTTACTCATCAATGCCAATCTGCCAGTAGTACTCCTGGGTCACGGGCGTCCATGTAATCTGCCCAGTGAAGAGCTGAGTGTCAATGCCTCCAAGGATGAGTTCCCCACCATAACTATAGGTTGGTTGGCTGGCAACACACAGGGGGAAGAACATCAAAAAGAGACCAGTTACTGAGCAGGTATATTGCTGGAAAGCAAAGGGTGAAAAATGTGTCTAGATGATAAAGAGATACAGCTGGAGAATGAGACCTTACCGTGAGAAATAGAAACTGAAGATGGGCTCAGTCAGCTGGCCCTGCTGCAGCATGTTCTCCATAACTGTGAGTCCACTTCCTTCAGCCAGGGACGGATAGGCCATGCCAAGAATCCCATCAAAATTAGAGTAGTAGAAGGGCTCGGTGGGCTCATTTGTGCTCAGACCAAGCTCCTGCTTTGTGACCACAATGTCCTGGACCTGGAGGAGAAGGAAACATTTGCTCTGACCTAAAATTTGGCATAAGGAAATCAAAAGGCTGTGGCAGTGTGAAGGAGAAGCAGTGCTCATGTGTAGATAAAGGGTGATCTAGTGCTTGCATAAGCAATTCATAGAATCATATTATCATAGAAAATGAGGGTGGAAGGGACCTCAGGAGTTCATCTAGTCCAACCCCCTGCTCCAAGCAGGACCAGTCCCAACTAGATCATCCCAAGCCAAGGCTTTGTCGAGCCAGGTCTTAAACACCTCCAAGGATGGAGATCCCACCACCTCTCTGGGTAACCTGTTCCAGTGTTTTACTGCCCTCCTAGTGAGGAAATTCTTCCTGACATCAAACCTAAATTCCCCTTGCTGCCACTTGAGCCCATTGCTCCCTGTTCTGTCCTCTGCCACCACTGAGGACAGTCCAGCGCCATCCTCTTTCAAACCACCCTCCAGGGAGTTGAAGGCTGCTATCAAATCCCTCCTCAGTCTTCTCTTTTCCAGACTAAATAAGCCCAGTTCCCTCATTTTCTCCTCAGAAGTCATGTGTCCCAGACCCCTAAACACTTGTGTTGTCCTCTGCTGGACTCTCTCCAACTTGTCCACATCCCTTCTGCAGTGGGGGGACCAAAACTGCACACAGGACTCCAGATGTGGTCTCCCCAGTGCCGAATAGAGGGGAAGAATCACTGCCCTCAGTCTGCCGGCAACACGCCTACAATGCACCCCAGTCTGCTCTTAGCCTTCTTCACATCAAGGGCATGCTGTAAGCCGATATTCAGCTTATCGTCCACAGTTGAACATAGTTGGTTCAGTGATGGAAGTATGTTGAAATCAGGACATCTCAATTAGGAAGAAAAAGATCAAGGCCTTCATGTTGATGAACACCACAAAGTGAGATATACTACCAAGCAAGGCGTGAGTAGGAATGGTAAGACTAACTAATAATTTGACAGATTGCCCTAGGCTCTGGTGAGCCTTGGTTTTGTGTACATGAAATGATTGTGCTTTTTTAACAAAGTATTGATTTAGTTAAACCAGGGTAAACCTCATTATGAGCACTTATATTTCAGTTTGGAGTGGCTATCTTTCTGTTTAGCTTAACCCGATTAACCAGATCAACCTATACTGTTCAAAATAAAACCTTCTAAGCCAAAATAAAAATGTCCATAGACAGGGGTTTGCACTGGTTTAACTAAATCAGATTCGCTTCACACCATCATTTCCCTGTGCAAGTTTTTCACGTACAAAATCACTTTTTATGCCCTGCAGTGACAACAGCTTAATCAGAAATGAAACACTCACAGATAAAGCGCCAAGTGGTAAAAAACAGGGATGAACTGAACACCAGATACATGTCTCTAAGCCCTACGCTAGAGGGATGCGTCACAAATCCCACCTGCAAACTTCAGGAAGATGCAGGCTAGACAAGAAGTTACTAACAGGGGTCCAACCCCACTATACTCAGATGAGTCCAAAGAGACAGCACAAATGACAATGCAGGATCACATGGTGGCAACTTCACTTACTGACACTGTGTCATAACCCATCATCACAGTCAAGTCACCGCTCCCATAATCGAAAGTGTAAGTCTGTCCATTGCTGGAAAAGGTGGATGACTGGCTCGGGTCAAACCTTGCATGATTGGCTGAAGAAGAAAGATGAAGACACTGTGGTCACACTCTTGTGCTGTGATTTGAGCCAAGCCTCCCTTTATGAACCTTGCCAACAATTCCCCTAAAGCTGACCTCCTGGCTTGAAAGAAGAGGTAGGAGATGTCATGCAGGAGCATTGCACGACAGGGCAGAGCACTGACACCAATGCAGATCACCCAAAACACCATATTTGCACACCCACCTTCTCCATCTATGATATGCCTGTTGCTCCCATCACCACAGCAAGCACTTTGGACCAGATCATCAGAGGGTCTAAGCTAGTATCTGCACAGTAGTCCAAAGAGCTGTGACAAGTCACACCAGCTGAATCCTTGGAGCATAGTTTTACCATTCAGAATGTGGGGTCTCTACAACGACATGTCTTTAAGTATATAGGGTGACCATCTGGGACAATTTGAAATGTCAAGTATATATGGGACCATATGGGGGACGGCCCCGCCACACCCCTGCCTTTCAAGTCAGTGGGGCCGCTGCAGGCAGAAGCAGGGGTGGGACAGCATGCTGCAGCTGGTATTACTATTCAGACAGTTAAAGGAGTTTGTGACCTATTGTTCTTTGCTTCAACAGGTGCTAACAAGCCTCTCCTCTTTTTAATGTTAATTCCACTGACTTACTTTAGGGTAAATTTGCTGTCTTCTAAGCCTTCCTATTTCACAGCTCATACTGCTCTGCCTCCCCACCCAGGATGCTTGCTTTAATTGTCACCAGTCAGCCAGGACTGGCCTCCAAAGTCCAGGACTGTCCTGGCCAAACTGGGACATAGGCTCATCCTAAGCAGACATGGCAGTGTGGTACACTACAGTGACTCTAGTCACAGGTCTAGAAATGTTAACTCCAGCGCTGGAGAATTCGCTCCGCCTAATCCGAGCGTTACTGTGCATCTGAAGAGCAATGTGACCAGGTCACACATCTACTAAACCCTCAGCAATTGAGCAATACTCACAACAGGCCTCTGTCTGGCAGTAGGTAGATGGCACCCACAGGTTGGAAGAACCGCTGTCGAAGAGAACCAGGAAGGTCTGGGGTGGAGTCCCGACGCTGATCTCTCCAAAGTAGTAGGCCTGCAGGAGAGAGTCAGTGCGTGCAAAGGTCGATTCCAATGTGCTGTTAACCACTTGTCAATAATAATGTCCATATAACAATTTCCAATATCAGCACCACCTCTTTGGAGATGCAATTGAGCCTCACAAACCAGGAAGGAACCTGCGTCCCATTGCACTTGTTTCATGCAGGGCATCTGACACTCAAACAGTGCTAGGATCCCCCCTTTCAGGCTGCATTTGATAAGAACGCCTGTGAAAACAAAACTTTCAGCTACTTCAGAATTAAAAAAACCAACCAGCCATTAGTCAAGGCCACCACAAGTAAGCTAGGGAGCAAGAACCAATAGCTGCATTTTGGCAAGTGCTAGCAGTAATTTAATGCAACAGTTATAGTAACTTTTGATAAAAATAATTGAATCTTATGCAGTCGGCTAGAATGCTGTTGAAATACCAGAGTGTTTTTGTTAACTGAATGGGGCAAGATGGACGTGCATGTCATGTTTAGCTGAGATAAATGTGTGTAAGAAGAGAGAAGGGGAAGTTTAGAATGATTCTGGGACACGTCAGAGTCGACAGACCAAAGGATCCATGAATGTCTGACCTCCTAGTACAGGGGTGGACAATTATTTCGGGTGGAAGGCCACTTACGGAGTTTTGGCAAGCAATCGAGGGCTGCATGACAGGCAGCCCAGGGCAGATAAATATTAATTTTCTAAAATTTTTAGGGGCCCCGCGGGCTGGATAGAATGGCCTGGCGGGCCGCATTTTGCCCACCCCTGTCCTAGTAGGTGGTGCAATGCTGTACGTCACTTACTGTGTTCCACAGCCTGAGGATTTATTGCTTGACTCTTACACTTATATTTCTGGTTTCCAATAAATGGTTGGCCTCTGAACAGATGGGAGGTCGTAACAGGAAAAACAGGTCACCCAACAATTCAGTGGTGGAGCCGAAAACAGACCACTGAGTCTTAGAGCTCTTCAAGGTTTTCCTTGGAGGAGGAACATGAAGCCACCCAGAGAACATAAAGACTTTGGTGAATAAGTTGGGGGGCGGGGGGATAAAAATCAGTAAAACCTCCAATCTGCTTTATCAAAAAGAAATAAAACTAGAAGTTTAACTTGTTTGCCTGGTACGTTCCTTTCGATTCTTCCAAAGCAACCTGCCTTCATAGCACCGCTTGCCAACTACTCCAAGGAGGTACAGATTTCCAAGAATGGTGAAAAAGGATCGCTACTTCTTCCTTTTGACTTGTGACCATCAAGAAAAAGGAAGAAAGGAGTCATGGGACTTCTCTTACAAGTCAATAGATTGGTGTGGTAGGTGGTAGACAGGGAGGTGGACAGACAGCGAGAAGTCGGTTTTAATACTCACGTCCAAGTAATTGGTGATTGGTTCATGAGCAACATTGTATTCATTGAAGTGATACTTCCTGCCTAGATCAACTTTGTGGTGCTTCAAAAAATGCTCCAACGTCCCCTTCTCCTTCATGATCTCTCGTGCCGACTTGCCTTTTCTCAGAGGGATTCTGCATGGGATGAAGGGAAGAGCTCCAGAAATCAACTGGAAACCACATCGTTTGATATGTCAGGCCACCTCTTGTCAGGGGCCTTTTACTGCTCGGGGTGTTCCACCCACAGCACTGAAGCACGTGCCCATGTTTCGAAAACTCCTGGTGTTAGTAGGATTTTTAAGGCCCCTAAGGACATGGCAGAGCTGAATGCAGTAGCGCTACTGTGGGTATCACCTGGCTAAGTACCTCTACGCATTGATCATGCCACATGTGCACTGGGATACTCACCTCACCAGCCCCTCCGAGAGCTGGAGGCAAACCAGGGCCAGGACGAGCCACTTCATGGTGCTCGGCTTCTCCACTAACCAGCTCCTGTACAGAACGTGTTGGTCACCACTGCAAGGCTGGGCTAAAGTCTCTAATCTGGACTCCCTAATTTTATACCCAGGAACTGCCACTCCCTTTACCCGTTATCTGCCGACACCCTGTTTCACTTATCACCATGCTCAGCCAACGTCAATATTTTCCTTATACCTTATGCCCTGAGGAGCGCCAGGAGTTCTTTCTTCTCCTTTGTTGCAAACTGAGGTTATTGAACAATTAGCACCTTTGATAGTAAAATCCCATTACTAAGATCTGACAAGAAGCAAATTTGTGCTCAGAACAAAGGGAGCTGTTATCAAAATGTCAGTACACTGACGTGTTATCTGTTACCTCCTAAATTGGCTAGGTCTTTTCCAAGCAAAGGAACAGTTGCTCTTATAATGCATGGAAATTAAATGATACCATTATCCTTCTTTAAACCCAAGCTGTTAACCAGACTTTTGTCATCTAGCGGGGTCATTTCAGTTCAAGGAGAAACAAATGTGATGAAGTGTTTCTGCGATGCAACCGTGTTCATTTACAAGGAATCAAAAAAGCAGAAGAGATATTTTTCTGCTCACGGTTCCCAGCACCACTGTATCAAGACAACCAGAAAGGCTCTTTAGCTACAAACAGGCATCCCATTTGTCCTGGAATAAGCAATTCTATCCCATGAAAGAGTGCAATCATTCACACATCTATATCCATTGTCCTGGGATACATTTGTAGAAGGTTCAGGGTGTTGCAATTAAAATGGGATACTGAGTGCTTTAAGAGGATGGACACGACACTTCCATCGATATTAAGCAGAAAGGCTTTATTAATTAGAGAATGAGCTTAATAGGAAAATGACAGGTACTCTATTGCAATAAACAAATAAAGCAAGCTATAATCAAGCCCAGTGTATCGCTAGCACCTCAGATCATGAGCTGTGGGGCACCGTCTAGGTCATTGTTACAGAGGGCAGATCCCAAAGTATTCGTTAGCCAACCTGGACCGGTGAGGAACATGGTTACAGGGAGAGGCAATCACTTTGAAAGGGGAACCTATTCATAATTGATCTCGGGTTGTTAGACACGGGATGTATTCAATACTAGAAGCCGGAGGTGAGATTAACTGTATTGTTGTATTTCGGGTGGTCCCAACCACGAGCTTGCATTCTTGTGCAAAAGGCACTGTTATTATGATTTAGCCACTTGAATTTTGCACGTAGGTCTGGACAAGCTCTGTGTCCAGCACAGGGGATCAGAAGTACTAACATTTAATCTCACAACATCACAAAGTGAGTCAGAACGGTTATCCCGGGATTGCATTATGGAATCAATAGCAGAAAAGTGGCAGTGCCTTTAGCCACTCACTAAACCCCGATTAGATGGGTGATGTCCGTACGCACCAATCCTAGGATATTTCTGTTCCAGGATAAACAAAGGTGCAGCTTGTCCAGACAAATGCAACATCTGTTCCTAGCCTTCTTGGATCTGTCTCACAGTCATAGGCCCAATACTTGTTGTGACATGCTGGCTTTCAAGTCCATTTCTGTACCTATTTTGTGGTGTTTCTTGCTGCTTCCTCTGCACACATGCAGAGTCCCATTCCAGTTCATCCCCTTCTCTCAACTTACCATACTATAATGGAATACATCATAGACTGCACAGCTCACTCCTACCCCAGCCTTGCACTTGGCTTCATTTTCAGCTGAGTTACCATTATACTTTCTGGAGAAAAATGCCATTTATATTGAAAAGCCACCAAAATAAAAGTTGCTGCAAGATGTTTTCTACTCGCTCTTCTCTGGGCCAAGTCAGAAACGGTCCTCCTCATTCAAAAGTCAGGGGCTGGAGCTGATGATCTCGTGAGGTCCCTTCCAGCCCCTAACATCTATGAATCTATGAAAGGTCTTTGCTTTAGTAGGAAGAAAACCATCTTCTTAGCTCATCATAACTCAAGTTGGGTAAACGGTCGAGACAATGCTGTCATACATTTAATGGGCATGAACAGGTTGAGGTAAACCTTAGGATCCCCCCATAGTCTTTACCTCAACCTGCACACACGACAACTACAAACTGCCTCGTCTTCGTAGGACTTTACCTTGTGAGCAACTGAATGCAAGGTATGAGCACACCGTCTCTTCCTGTGTCAGCGCACAGAAACAGCCAGAACTGGGTTAACTAAGATGACCTTTAACACAACGGCGATTGTATGTAGACAAGAACAAGTCATCGCACCAGGTGGCTGGGTTGATCCCTCAGCCCGTTATTCCAGCAAGGCTATTAAATAAGCTGAACCCTGCCTACACCAAATGACAAGCCATGTTTCATATCTTGTTAACCTAACTCTTCAAGGATGGTCTAAAGTAGATATTCTAATAGTATCCCTTGGACTGGTTTGGGAGGTCTCTTCTGGATGTCCCCGTCTTCTCTTGTAGTGGCCACCAGAACATCACCAATTCAGTAATGTCCATTTGGAATTGGGCGTAGTCTATCTGGATGTAGGTAGCAAACAGTTATTTCAAATGCAATTGTGTCCTTGCAGCTTAAGTACATTTGATGCCGTGTAGTAAGCAAAGACACAACATGACAGGGCAAGCAAATGTTGGAATAGTGTGACTGCAGTATAACCTACGAAAAAAGTGAAAATAAAACCGTTGCCTGAGACACTGGGCCTGTGAGAAAGAGAGATGAAAATGCCTGGTGTCTTGGAGAAAAGGGATTTATTTGGGCAGAGGACTGGGACAGCTGTGTTGGGAGACTGAACAGTATATAACAGCGAAGGTACAGAACCAGAAAAACCAGGCTGCAAGGGACCTGAGGAGGTTCATCTAGCCCAGCCCCCTCTCTCAAGGCAGGATCATCTTCATCTAAAATATCTCAGCCTCTGACCTGAGGATATTTGCCCGTTCTCACCAGCCTTTGTGAAATGCACCTGCATTTCAGCCATGGCCTGAGGAGTTAATGGGGCCTATCAGGGATAGCATCTACCCAGCTGGAAAACTGAAACTCTTCCCTATCACTTCAAACCCACCACACTACAAGTACTTTACTGGGTAGGTGAGCTAAAAGGAGGACAAATTAGCCCACGTGAAGCTCCTGGCTGCTGCAGCTGGACTGCTTTTGGTGCACACACTAGCTTGTTTAAAGAGAGGTCAAGGTATCTCTATGTGATTCCATGGTCTGCAGTGCAGGCACACCCTATCTGAAGGCCCTTCTTGCCCTTTGCTAAGGTCAAAGAGAGGTCCAAGGACACTTCCCTGCACTGAAAATCTGAAGCCAAATGGTAGCCTTACACCCGAAGCCTCCAGGGATCCATCAGAAATTCAGCGACGTTAGACCATCTCGGCCAAAATTTCTGATTTTCCCAGCTAGCAAATTCCGA